CCTCTGGCTCAGTCAGCTGCAGTTCAAGGTCCCAACACAGCCTCAGTCCTGGAGGAACTGCATTAGGGTGTTACAGGAGTGTTAGAGAGAGAGGTTGCGAATGTAAGTTAGGAAAGGCCTCAGGCAACTTCCCACCCTGTATCCTTTCCCGGGTTTCACAGGTCAATTTGCCTGGCATGGAGAGCCATCATCTCTGCCCACTCGGCTGTGAGGTGCTGTGCTGGCAACTCCTCCAGCGCCAGGCTCCTCCCCAGTCAGGACACTGCCCCTTGAACTCAGACTATGCTCAAGGCCTGTATCTCATGGTTCTGAGTGAGAGACCAGAACTACCCGCTATAGAAATTACAATTATCTTGGAAGAAAATTTTTAAAAAATTTTAATAGTATGGAGGATTGAATTCAGGGTCTCTACACTGAGCTCCATCCTCAGACCTTTTCAAAAATTTTAAATTTTAAGACAGGGTCTTATTAAATTGCCCAAGTTGGGCCTGAACTTGTGATACTGTCTCAACCTCCCAGACTGCTGGGATTACAGGCGTGTACCACCACACCTGAGTTGAAAATTAATTTTTATATAGTCACTGGCCCAAAGGAATGGTGCCAGTGGTTTATGGAGTGGGGCAACTACAATAAACCTTTTCTCCTTACAATTTGATTACTTCAGATGTTACAGCGACAGCAAACGTAGAACAGTTATTCTTGGGAACATCTTATAAGAAAAGTCTGATTGCCATAGGGCCGGGAATATCACAGGGGAAAGTGTTCAGACTATTAAAAAATAAAAAATACAGAAGCAGGAGCTGGAGTCATGGTAAGGAACTGACTAAAGGATATTTTGCTAATTTCATAGTAATTATACTGTTGGACTTGGTCAATATACATATACTTGCAATGTAATGCCCACCAATTTTATATATCTTTGCATATAATGTTGAAGACTTAAGGTTTTATTATTATTATTATTTTCAAACTGTCTCACTCAGGCTGAGTTTGAACACACAATACTTCTGCCCTTTCCTCCCAAGTAGCAGGGTTTATAAGCACACACCATTGTGCTCAGCTTGGCATCTTTTTACTCACTGTTGGAGGGGGTACTGGACTTGAACTTAGGGCCTCAGAATCTTTTTAATCTTTTTTTTTTGGTACTGGAGGTTGAACTTGACAGGTTCTGGCCTTAGTATGAAATGCTGAATTGTTATGATGGTCATCTATTCATTTATTTTTTGGCAGAAATGGGGATTGAACTCAGGCCCTTGCGCTTGCCAGGCCAGTGCTTAGTCTACTGAGCCATCTCCCCAGTCCCTATGGTGTCTTCTAACATGGCTGAAAATCTTAAAACAACAGCTTATCTTCCCAGAGACCACCTCCGTCCTTCTCCAATTCAGCCCAGGGTGCAATTTCCTTTCACTTTTCCTGCCACCTCAGGGAAGACCCCAATCAGCTCCTCTGGTGTGTCTAAACATCCCCCTCAAACCCCAATCCTGGCAAAACACCATAAAAGCCTCAGTCTCCCTTTGTTCCAATTCAGAAAATCTCTTATCTTCCTCAGATTCTCTCCGTGTCCTCAAAGATAATAAAGCCCCTTTCCCTTTTTCTTTTTGCCTGTTTCTCTGCTGCAACACAGTCTGAAAAATACCTATCAGAACTCAGGAGCTTGTGTGCGCCAGGCAGGCGCTCATGCCGCTGAGCTTTCTCCCTGGGCTCATCTTTTGATCTTATTTGTTGGCAAGACCAGAGATACACTAAATAAAAACATTTTCCATTTTGCTATTTAAGGTCAATTTTGGCTTACCTCTGTTTTTAGCATTATAGTTTTTTAGAGGGGTTGGGAGAAACTTTCCTTCCATACTGTGCAGAATTCTGTTTTGGCTCTCAGTTGAGATGACTCCCTAACTGAAGGACATGATTGTTGGTTTAACGGTTATGGTCAATTTTATGTGTCAGCTTGACTGAGCCCTGGGGTATCCAGATACTTAGCCAACCAATGTTTCGTGAGTGTTGGGGAGGGACTCGCTGGGTTAGTTTAACAACTGAATTAATTACTACATACAATATTATGCATACAGTGAGGTGTTATTTGGCCCTAAAAACAAATGCGCCAGGGGAAAAATGCAAATGAAATTTTAAAATATATACTAAGCAAGAGAAACCAACATGAAAAGGCAGAATACTAGGAAATTCAGAGGGGAAGGATAAACAGATGGAACAGTAAGGATTTTAATAACGTGTCCGAGTTGGTTCACAGATAACCAAGGTATCACAATGACAGGCAACGTTGTGCCGTGGGATGCTGAGGGGGGCAGGTATGGAAAATTTTGCAATTAACATATAGTTTGCATGTGAACCTGAAAGTGCTCTAATAAAGCCTATTAATTAAAAATAAAGAAAATTAACTTTTAATGATGCTTTGCAGAAAGGCTCGCTGAATGTGATCCAACCTGACTTGAGCACTGAAGGCAAGAGGGAAAGAAATTTCTTCAAATGCAAACAGGGTTAAGGTCAGGCACTAGGAAAGGCACCTTCTTGTTAGGGGACTTTTAACTCCTCACCTCTGTCTCCAAATAAGTGAGCGCAACCTACATGCACAGGGGCTCCCTGTGGTCTGAGACGTGTGTGGCATCTGGCTTGCTCTTAATCTGATCCTTCACCTCTGCCCCTAAAGAGTTGAGCATCTGAGAATTCTTTTTTTAAAAAATGTTTTTGGTACAGGGTCTAACTATGTAGCTCAGACTCAAAACCTCCTGTTTTCAGCCACCCCAGTGCTGGGATTCCAGGCTTGTGCCACCACGCCAGAAGGGGATGGCTCACAGTGCTGGGGTTGGGAGGGAAAAGAACCCCTGTCCCTGCTCCTGCCTAAGTCGGCGGAGTTATCTTGCCATTCCTGCATCTGAGAATTCTTGCCTGTAAAAGCGCATTTGGGGTGCACCTCTTTTTGCTGGTCTCCTCAGTGTTGTTCCCTGAACTTTTTTACTTCTGGTTGGCCTTGAACTGACTATGTAGCTCAGGTTTGCTTTGAACTCAGGGTGATCCTCCTGCTTCAGGCTCTCAGGCACAACAGGCATATACCACCATGTCTGGCTCCCCTAAATTTTCTAAAGGCGGATCACAGCCCAGACTTCAGAGTCTTCCTAGGAAGCTAGAGAGGGCCACAGCCGCCTCCCACTTTCAGGTGTTTGTTCTCTCTCTGTCT